GCTGGACTGTGTGTTCCCTGGGTTATGCTCCACCTCACAGACACACGTGTGCACGACTGTAAGCCTATGACCTCCCCACGTACATGCAGCCAGAACACAAATCCACGTCATGAACAGCCCATGGGTCAACAATGGGCAGACAGAACAGTGCAGACGGCGGTAGGAGAATGTCCTGGAGACAGAGGAGAGGACCTGGACTTAGGCCAAGATCCACCAAGAACTTGTACATTGGGACAAGTTCCACTCAGATGCGCAGTCTTTGGTTCCGTATCTGCAAACAGGCCTGATGGGTGTGTGTGCGACAGAAGTCTTGCCAACACTAACTTGTCTGTGATCCTCCATGACCCTCACCACAAAGCGCGGACCTGAGGGGGGGAGGGGGGTAGCTAAAAGTGGAAGCCAGCTGAGTACTGTTCTGACCTTGAACTTGACCTGACTCAGCTGTGATAATTCCCCTGACAGTATTGTGGAGAGAAAGAAAATGGAAATCATGGGAGAGGTGTGGACAGAAGTTCAAACAAGGAAGGTTCCAGAATGACTTCCTCAGCCTCCTCGTCCTAATTCTCGGGAGTTCACAACTCGGCGGCGAGACAAAGCACCCACCAGCGCCATCCACTTAACACCGTTCCCGGAAGAGGCTCCTTCCAAAGGAGCCGCTCCGAGAACGCCAGAGGCCACGGAAATCAATGCGGCTTTTCTGGGAAGTGGCTGGACAGTGTGCATCAAGAACCTTTAAATACACGGTCCACTTAGTTTAGCAATTCCACTTCTGGGAACTGCCACGGTTGAGATACCAGCTGTGTATTAAAAGTGACTGAGATGACTGGACAAAAATATTCACATCGGGAGTTCTGCAGACTGGCTGCACAGCTCTGCTAATGTACTTAACACTAAGACCTGCACATTAAAATTCGTTAGAAATCAGGAATGGGAAATGGAAACAATGGGCATTAAATATCAAGTTATTCGAGCACACTGGAAACCACTCATGATATGCTATTAAATGAAAAAAGGCAGAGCACGTGTGGTCTCCGGTTTAGGTGGAGTAGATTAAAAAATAAAAAACAACTAGGAAAATCAAAACACTTAAGAGTAGTTCTGCCTCTGTGCCGGGATCTCCTGTTTTCTACAAGAAACACTCAGGCGGTGAGGGAGGGCAGGGCCTGGCAGACATGAACTCATGGTCCAAGAATCAAAGGGCAGAATGACTTCCCCCTTTACAGCCTGTCCGCTGTGAGGTTTGTTTCCCTTAAAGAAACAGACAGCCAGAGTCTGTTGTCTGTTTCCAAACTGCTACATCAGCTCTGTCAACAGAGACAGACCCGGACCTGGAAGCAGCCAAGGTGCAAACTGGGCAGGACCCAGTCCCCCCATACCGGCGAGGATGAGAAAAGCAGCATCGCCCGCTTGTCACCATCTGCTGTCCTAGCCATCGCGGTATCTGAAAAGGCCGCTTCTCCTTCATGCACCATCCAATACCTTTGGATTGTCTCCTAATGGGCCTGAAGCGACCTGGGAAATGTAATCTAAACAGAAAGTAACTAATGACGTTACTAATAAACAAACCACAGGAAATGGGCTTTGCAATTCTCTGGAAAACAAAAGGATACATTACAAACATTAATGAGTTCTTAATCCAGAAAGGCTTGCACTAGCCACAGAATTACTTTAATGGACACCGGTCCTTGTTTTCATGACCAGAAAATGTATTTTTCCCTTTAGGAAAAAAAACAACAAAACAACAAATTTGAAATACTCAGAAAACTCCATCTTTCAACTAGCAGTAATTATATATATAAATGAATGGAGCAAGCTAGAAGGAGAAGTAAAAATAATAATTAGGAATCTAAGTGGAATGTAAGAAACTCAGTCACGGAAAATGCAGGGTCACAGTACTGCAAGGCTAATGACACCGTGTCTGGCCCAGAGTTCCCATGGAGCTAACCACCACCTGTACCCGTACACAGACTTTCATTAATGCAGGCTGTGTGAGTGCCTATTAGAGGTTTATAGAATTTGACCTTTGCTAGAATAGTTTTGTCCTTGACAGTTGCTTGATTAACATCAATTAGTGAAGAGTTTCTATCCAAACAAGTAAAACAGGTTTGGTGGTGGTGGTGGTGGTGGTGGTGGTGGTGTGTGTGTGTGTGTGTGTCTGTGTGTGTGTGTTTAAGCACCTTCTTAAAAGAGAAAGGGGTTTTGTCTTAAAAAATAAGAACCACAGTCATCAAGGTAGTTTCAGAGCTGGATCGGAAAGATGACAGGATCCCGCTCCGGTGGGGGAAGCCCCAGGGGAGGGCCCCACACCGAGGGGTGCTGCACACCCAACATGCCGTGATTCCTGTACGGTTAGCAACGCCAGGGCTGCCTCTTTAAATAGACGGCCATTTTTACATCCAGTGCACGTTCACAACCATATGCCAGCTATTTTTATAGGCAGGTAGAACATCAGGGCTCTGGATAGTTTTCCAACAATATGGCTCAGACAGAAATCTGCGTGTAAGACGCCGTGGGGAAAACGCAGTTTATTTCTCTGATGGAGTCTGAGTCCCTGCCATGGTTACGCAAGCTTCCCTGCCCTTACCTTTCCTTTTCGAATTAAAATGATGAAGAAAACAAAGCTGAGGTACCACGGGGCGACACAGATCTGGGCGGGACACAAGCACGGCTCCGCTGGAGGAGGACCTGCTGAGTGTGTTAATTAGCATTGGGGCCCACAGTGTCTAATATGGAGAATATTTTCTTCACTCCACGAAAAGGCTGGATGCTGCAGCACTACTTCCTTCTATTCGTAAGGCCTTGCAAAGATTTTAGCAGAAGTAAACGCTGTCCCTATGGAGAAAAACAAACTCTTGGATATTTTCTCAAAACCAAGGACATGTAATGTGGTCAGGACACAGGACCAAGACCTTGTCAGGGCCTTCCCTGCAGGTAAGCCTGTAGCCTGCTGGAGGGCCACACTTCCCAGGCTCACCAAGCTACTCACTGCTGCCTATTTAGTCCCACTAAAGTACCAAATAAACTGTAACTGTGTGAGGTGATGTGGATGCATTATCGAACCTTACTGTAATCATTTTCCAATACATGCAGATATAAAGTTGTATGAATATGTGTCAAGTTGTATCTCAATAAAGCTGGGGAGGGGAGGGGGGAACCCCACCCAAAATACAGTTAAAAAGAAGATTTAAGCCTGGCCAGTGTGGCTCAGTGATGGAGTATCACCCATGAACCAGGAGGTCACAGTTCGATACTCAGTCAGGGCACATACCAGGGTTGCCAGTTTAATCTCCAGTGGGGGAGGGGGGGCGTGCAGGAGGGAGTCGATCTATCCCTCTCCCTTCCTCGCTCTAAAATCAATAAAAATATATTTAAAAAGATTTAAGTCCTACTAAAATCAAGAGTAAATTTGTTATTAATAATGAAATTATGCCTGAAATGCAGTATTCCCTGTCTCTCAAGTGTGTGCTTGTCCCAAGACTCAAACATCAAGTCATCGACAGTAGCACAGACCACAGGGGAGAAACTGTCCCAACAGTCAACTCTCTGCACTCGGCATTAACTTCCACCAAGTTCCCTGGAGAGTCCAGGTGGGCTCGAATCCCATCATCTATTTGATATACACGAGGGATGCTTAGAGAAGACACCTGCCCGGTCCTTAACCATCAGCTGCGGGAAGTGCATAAACACACTTCTGCAAGTGCAAAGGCCGATAAAAGGGAAAGGAAAACACTGTGCAGGGTTTATAGAAAGGCGGTGTGGAAACTGTGATTCAAAAGAAGAAATCTGCCAGAGATATGGCGGTTGAGGGAGGACAAAGAGAAGGAAGAAAAGACATTCCAGGAATTTCCCCAAATACTGATAAACAGGTCAAATTCCTTGGCACAGGAAGTCGCTTCATACCAAAAAGGTCTCCCAGTTCCAGTGAGTGACCGGGTTGTAAACAATGTTGTCCAAAATAAGAAAAGTTCTAGAATCATCAAATGTTTTGGACACTCACCAACTCATAGCGCCATTCCTAACGGCCAAAGCCTGAAAAGTTGCCTTCGTAATTTTACCTCCCCACCAGCTGCAAATAGCCACAAAATGATTCTGAAATAATGCGTGTGATATGAAGAAACACAAGTATTTAGGAAAACAGGATTTTAAAAAAATTTACAGTCCGGGGCACATTTTATACAAACTCCAAACACATTGTTTGGAGTTTGTATAAAATGTGCCCCGGACTGTAAAAATTGTTTTGTTTTGTTTTGTTTTTTTTTGTTTCTTGTGCTGGCCCCATAATCAGGAAGGCCCAAACCCTCCCACCCTCAGCAAACAAGTACTCAGCAAGCCTTGAAGAAGGTCAAAGGTCTTTTAGGACCCCAGGTATCAGCACTCTGGAAAGGCTGTCCTCACAGCTGATTCATAACCTCCCCAAGCCAAGTAACGATGGGTTTGTATTGGCAATGTTAACTATAAAAAGTTGGTAAGCGTGAGGAAAGAGAAAAACACTTTAACCAAATAATCCATCCACTGCTTCCCTGACACTTCACAAGTCTTACAAGTCTGAATTTTCACAAACAATTAAATTTTATAGCTGTTCAAGTGCCAGATGATGTGATCAAAGAAAACACATCGGTATATGACAGGAATAGCAGTTATCAGATTACACTTGCCCAAATCCCAAACCTTGAAATGCACCAGTGTTGTTTAGATGAAAGTGTTCCCTAATTGGTGAGCAAGAAAACAACAAAATCGATGGTTAACGTTAATATTGATAACAAGATCTGGAATCTTTATAAAAGGTCTAGCCTGGGTCATCAGTATACTTTATATACAAGTTGAACTAAGAAAATGAATCCGTTCATAATTCTTAAGGTTTCTTTTTTTCCAGAAGTCATTGTACAGAGGAAAAACCTGCTCCCAGATTTCTTATAGGCACTAGTTTTGCTTCATTTCAATGCGTGTATTGAGTCTGTAACCAAGACCCGGGTCTGGGTGCTGTTCTGTCGCTTGCTTACCTGGGGATTTTTTGTTGGATCTTGATTGCGCCGAGTGAGACTGTCGCGGCAGCAGAGGTGATGACGGCAGGGACATGGAGACGCCCTTGGCCAAGCTCACCCTGTAGGTGTCCTCAGCCATGGGAAGGCTGCTCACAGAGAAGTCGCCACCGTCGCCAGAGGGCAGTACGGGAGGGGAAGACTCTGGACCAAAGTCACCTCCTGGGGTGGAGAAAGGAAACCTTAGGTTAGACCAGCCATCACAGGTGGAAACAAATTTAATTCCTAAGCACTGCATTCTTAGAATGTCATTCCCATATATTATAGCATATGGGTGGACACTGAATGTTTTCAACAACTACCCCCTCCCCGCCTCTGCCACTCTTAAGGACTTTTTAACATTGTGAGAGCAACTTCAAATCTCACTACTCAAGTGTCAATAAGCTGCCCCACACCCTTTTCTGCACCATACCATCTGGTCTGATTTCATTGGTAACAATGGGTGCAGAAAGCCACTGATCTGAGATTAGATCAAGATCAAGTATGAATGACCCACAAGAGGATTTGATTTCAGCCTAAAGAAAGATAAGTATCAATAGAATAGATTCAAACAACAAGATCCATTCCATAATTCTCTGGCCTCCTACCAGTTCTCTCAAAAAAACCCCACAAAAAACAAACACAAAAACAACCCTCCAAGGCAGAGTCTAGCCCACTTCAACATTCCTCCCCAGTTCTCTCCTCTTACCCACATCACACACCCCATGGTTCAGGGTGGACCCTCCTATAACTCAACCAGCCCAAACCCTTAGTCTTGAGACCGGAAACTGGCTCAATTAAAACAGGTTCTCCTCGGCATTCAGTCCCTAAATGAACTTAAGGACAAACAAGCTTTCTATTATGAAACTAAACATTCTGGAGTAAGCAGATCCAAAGAAAAAATACAGAGGGTGCAATTACAATGAAGGGACCATATATGTAACTTGGAAGACAATAAATAGGCTAGGACCAGCCTCACCAGAAAGAAACTCCACCCCCCCCCCCCCCCAATCCAGTCCTCAAGTCCTCAGACACAGACGCTTCTCCTATTGTTCCTCTGGACCATCAACTCCTCCCTGTCCCCCGTTGAGAAGCAACTGGGGAAGTGCAGGCAGAGGAGGCGGCAAATCATTATCCTGATGATTAAAAACATCTTCAAGCTTTCAATAATATACGGAGACCTGGAAAGCGTTAGACAGTTTTCCACAAGCAAACGAGGCTGACCAATGCTATCCAAGTGGCTCTCGTGACCAGTCCCTGCCAGCTCGTGGGTCTCATCTTTGGAATGCAAACAGGGGCTGTGCCTGCAAGAATGGCGCCTGGTCACCTGATTCCTGGATGTTTAGCAAGAAACTCCAGGAGACAGGGGAGAACTTGGAAAGCACTAAGGCCACAGCCCACAACCCCAGGGGGTTTACACACAAAGGATGTGGGGTGGGGGGTGGGGCCCTGAAGAGGGGGCACTGGATGTCCATGTGGTCAGAAGAGAACCACCCTGCCCTGTGGCTGCCCTTATGCCCCTATACCACCGTCACGGCAGTCAGTGGCTGTGGGGTGCCTGACAGGAGCAGGCGTGGTGACAGGCACTGTCTTTCCCACTCATACAGGAACATTTCTGACCTATAAAATACAATAAGAGCTCAGTAGCTCAGCAGCTGAGCGTCAACCTGGAGGTCACAGTTCCATTCCCAGTCAGGGCCCATGCCTGGGCTGTGGGCTTGATCCCCAGTGGGGGGGGGAGGGGGGTGCAGGAGGCAGCCCATCATTGATTCTCTCTCATCTATGTTTCTCTCTTTCTCCCTTCCTCTTATGAAATTAAAAAAAAATTTTTTTAAAACAGCCCAGATTTCAACTCCCTGAATTTGAAAGGGGACACCAAATTAGGGAGAAATGTACCTACTGTGAGAATACCAGAAATCAAAAGTAAAGCTCTCTTCTGAGACAGGGTTTATTTTCTTAAATACTTAGTATCCTCTAAGGCACATGTGTCAAACACAAGGCCCGAGGGCCAAATCCGTCCCGCCAGGCCTTGCAATGTGGACCGCGCTGTCATCGCTGCACTCCGCTGCGTTTCCATCACAATGACAGTTTATGATTGTTCAGTAAACCATTCGGCCCGCGATTTAGGCTGGATTTTAGATTTTGGCCCCTTCTCTGATTGAGTTCGACACCCCTACAAATTGGAGATTCACGGCTAAGAGAGAACTGGAGTTTCCTAATTAGAAAAACTGCTCCAAAATTTTGTTTATATCAAGCAACACAAATATTTTTGTTAACTGCAAGTCTGGTGGGAGTTCCCAAGGCCTGCTGCTGCCGCCCCCCTTCGGCCTTCGCACAGCTGCTCTCCAGCACTTTGGGTCCGTGGGGTGGGCAGTAACACGTGGCTTAGAGATGGCATCTGGGAAGGAAGGGCTTCCGTTTCACGTTCGGTTTGACATCACACTATAAGATCAGTCCCAAATACATTGTTCGGTTGGCCTGTTTTGCAGGCCATCCCTCGCTTCTAGCTTCCTTTTATAAGAAAGGGAGAGACGTTTTGTGCATGAGCGGACAGGTGGCACCAAGCACGCGGGGTGATCCAGTGGCTGAGACGCTGAAGACAGAAGCTGCGGAGCCAGGTGCTTTCACTGCACGAGGGCAAAGGGGTTCGGGTCAAAGCCCGTCTGGCAAGCGCATCACAAGGCAGCGGCCGACGCCAGGGCAGATGGCGAGACTCTCTTCAGGGGCATCCGTGAGAACCACACGATATGGTCTGGGCAACAAAAGCCAAGATTTCTCCGCTGACTGCACATTCCTCGGCAGAAGCTTATTAAAGAGGGTTAGGAGGAATTAAAAACATTTCGCAGCCACGACCAGCAGGGGCTGGCACATTTCTGTGATTCTGGAACTGGCGTTTTTGTTGTACACTGTTTCCCCGGAAATAAGACAGTGCCTTATATTAATTTTTGCTCCCAAAGATGCGCTAGGTCTTACTTTCAGGGGATGTCTTATTTTTCCATGAAGAAGAATACAGTACACATTTATTGTTAAATGAAAATAAAGAAAATTTATTACCTGTATACGGTACGGTAGTATGGTAGTTGTCAACACAAACCAGACAAACTGTGAATCCTACAGTATCAAGAATTGACTCATTTATTCAATGACAATCATGTCATCATCTTCTGGAACATCATCCTAACAATCCAATTCCTGAATTTCCTGGTGAATTTCTTGTGATTCCATTTCTTTCAGAATCAGTGGACCAAATCTCTCGTGTTTATCCTAGGAGGCCTTACTTTCGGGGGGCGCCTTATAGTTCACTCAGAAGGAAACCTGTAAGTAGGTCTTATTTTCGGGGAAACACGGTAGCTGGGATGTGTGTCGTCCCCTCCTCGGCGTCCCCTTATATTTCACTCAGAAGGAAACCTGTAAGTAGGTCTTATTTCCGGGGAAACACGGTAGCTGGGACGTGTGTCGTCCCCTCCTCGGCGTCCCCTTATATTTCACTCAGAAGGAAACCTGTAAGTAGGTCTTATTTTCGGGGAAACACGGTAGCTGGGACGTGTGTCGTCCCCTCCTCGGTGAAGGGATGGGAGGCACACTTCACGCTGCTGCCGCAGGAAGGCCCAGCCAGGTGGGACGGCGCATCCTCTCCCGCGTGTGAAAACCACAGTGTCCACCACAAAGGATGCGCCAGGTGTTTCCCGTGGAACACTGGCACCCTCAGCCCGAGATGCTGGTAGTCCCAGAGAGCACGGGTCCAGCCATTGTTTCACAGGCAGGAAGCCGGAGCATGGGGCTTAACCATGAGGAGGAGGTTAGGGCTTCCCCACAAAGCCTCCCCAGCCAGTCAGCTCAGGCTGGGACGTGCTCACTACTCTACACGATTAAGAACTTTACTTTGGGGGACAGGGGTGGAAGTGAGGGGAATTCTCCTAAACAGACATGCTTTTAAGTGAGTTAAATCTATAATGCAGGGGTGGGGAACCGTTTTTCTGCCAAGGGCCATCTGGATATTATAGCATCATTCGTGGACCATTCAAAATTATCAACTTAAAAGCTAGCCTGCTATACCTGGTCAAACATTTAATTAACTCACCTCTAAGGCCTTGGCAGGGCTAAATGGTTTTGAGGGCCTGCAGGCCGGACATTCCCAACCCCTGCTATAAGAGGTCGGTACGTTTTTGTTATACAGGTCGCATACAGTCTGTCATCTACACACACACACACACACACACACAAACACACCTTTTCTTATTTTAAAATCATCAAGATTCTCCAATTTCCAAAAATAAAAGACCAGAAAGGGCACAGGGCATAAGGTTCTTCCTATTTGTGATAAAATGTAAGTAAATACTCAAAAACATACACACAAAAGACCTGCAAAACCCAAGTCACAGTTTGCAAAGATAATGGCACTATCAAAGGGGGGAGAAAGCCATCCAATTAGGCATTTTAAATTGGCAAAAATGGCTTTTGATAATGGTTCGTTTTATTTCTCCCCCTCTCTCCACTTTTACAGACTGTGAAAAGGGATTTAAATGCACAATGAGAAGGAATAGGAATCCAGGAGATAATGCATGCTTGAAGGCGGCTATGCAGAACGCCACGTCCAGCCCCACAGATTAAAGCGCACGGAGTGCGGGATTAGGGAAGGCTTTAAAGAATGAGGGCAACGGAGCCAGAGAGATGAAAGCAGCAGCCCATTTCAGAAAGACCCGAGAAAGGCAAGGGTGAGCTCAGACCTTCAGGTAAATAGGTCTGCAGATGCAGGAAATAAGGTTTCCATTTATTGTGCTGCTGAGTGGCTAGGTGGAGGAGGGGGGAGGGACGCTCTGAATAGAAAGAGAAAAGATGCTCTGTGTCGCCAGAAACCGGGGCTCGGCGATACACGGAACTGGGGCACTAAACGTGTGAGGCATCTTTTATGCCCACCCTGCCCGGGGGAGTGCGCTAATGTTTCTCAAACGTATTTTCCAGCGTAAGGTTTTATAACCACATCACGCACATATATTTACAGAAACCTAGAAAACTGGAAAAGATTTCCTCCCACAGGATCCAATATCATTTCCAGAGACTTCGGAAGGCACTCCCTGAGAAGGAAAGCACTTCAAACCATTTTTACAACTTACAGGGTCTCTCCGCGTATCCCGCCAGACGGACGGTTCATGCGCATTTTCAAAGAAAAAGAAAGATTAATG